GGAGCGCGGTTGAGGTGAATCGGGCGGTGGCGGGGCTGCCCTGAGGAGACCGCGGGGAGCCCGGGAGACGCTCTCCGGGGCTGGCGCGGGCCCACGGCGGGCTGCCTGCTGCCGAGCGACCGGGCTTGGGCGGGGGTTCCGGGGCCCGCCCGGAGGGGACGTGCGGTGGCGGCGGACTCAGGCTCGGGTTTCGGTGCGCGCCCACCGCCCGGGCCCGGAGCATCTCCCGTCTGACGCCGGGGCCGGATCGCGGTGGGGGGGACTTCGTCTGCGGGACAACAGCGAGGCACCGCCCGGCAGGGGACACCTCGAGATGTGTGCGAAAATGATTGTTTTTTTGGGGGGGGATGGTTATTAGCCACCGTTTGCCGTAATTTAAAGCTTACAGTAGAGCTTCTGAGCCCTGTCTCAGGGGATTTTTCTGCCCCAGAGACACTCCGACAGCAGCTGAGTTTTTTATGCTCAGATTTGTGTGTGTCATGGCATTTTTAATGCTTGATGTCAGAAGTGATAAATGGCCGCGGTTCTGGGGAGCCTCTGAAGCACCTGCTGGGCCGACGGTGGTGGAGGCTGTGTCTGAGGGTAGGATGGGAGAAATGAAGCAGATCCTGGTCGCATATTCTGCTGAAGTTATCAAGTTTCTGTTCAAGTATACCAGTTCTGAAACAAGTTGATAAATCCAATTTTAGGACTTAGTGATAGATGAGGTTTGGGTGCAAAGAGACCCTGGGTGACCTGGTTTGGCTAAGAATGTCTGGGGTAGCCTCAGTGTCTCTTACCGGTTCCCTTTGGCATGTTCGTCTTCTTTCTGTCACCGATGCCCAAGTACGTGAGTGATTCCAGGAGAGGAAAGAGCTAGGGGAAGCACAGGCCCGATGTTTTTCAAATGAACGAGTGTGTATCTAGGAAAAGGAAGCTCTTTTTACCTACAGGGTTGGCAGGGTGAGAGAAGTTGCTCTTTGCTTGAGAACCATTTATCCACACTAATAATTCATTTTGTGTAATGCCATGGATACTAAGGATTGAGCAGTCAGGACACTTATGGATGACATTTCCTAAGGTTTGGGTGACTTGAAATTTCATAAATCATATTCAAACCAAAGCATTACTACATAAAGGAGTCCTAGGGTGGCTCTTTCTATGAATCCCTCAAGGGGTCTTAGATTTTTATATGTGGAATCTATTTAAGATGTAATACACATGTTTATTTGGATTCATCTTTACCGTGGAGATAATCCTGAGTCATGCTTTCGAGAAGTTCCTTCTGTGGTCAAGAGCTCCGATGTCTGGCGGTCTCTCTAAACGCTGGATGCTCCCCGGTACCTGTAGTTCTCCCTTCGGCAGCGCTGGGGAAAGGGGGACCTGGGAGATTGGAAGCAAATTAAGAGGTCTTCAGCATTTGTCCTCTCTTCATGCCAGTGCTCTCAGTCACTTGTGTTCACACTCTCAAGTTTCTCAACTTATCACAGAAATTTTGTTTATACCGCCACTAGTATTTTCATATTTGCTTAATACTCGCCCGTTTACAAATGATTTTCTACTCATGACCTTGCTTATTTTCTCCTTTTCTGCAGAGAAGCAGCTGGGCATAAAGAGTGATTTGATCAGGGTCTCATAAGTAGAATTAGAGCAGGACTGAGATACAGATCCTCACACATTCTCTTTCCTCTGTGCTGGCCTGCATGTGACTGCAGAGCCTTAGTTCTGATCTGTTCCCCTGTAGGTCACTTGTTGCCTTGGTATTGTGCCTAAAGGGTATTACTACTTTTTGGGAAGGAGGCATTATCTCGTTTCATCCTGTAGAAACTGAGTGGGTGTAAGAGGAATTTAATGATTTTGTGACTATTTTTGATAGCTCTTTATTATTAAGGTCAATTTTCAATTTAGAGAGCCTTTCTTCTAAACCATGTGGAGAGAAGAGAGAAAAAAGAATTAGTTTTAGAAAAAATAAAACAATCCATTCCTTTAGAGATACGGTCAAGGATAACCTAACATCACAAATCACATTTTCTTTGTGTGCCTGCCTGGCTTCTTGTGCCAGCCTGTATGTGAACGTTAGCCCAAAACACTCCTTGAGATGTCACTGAACTAGTTACTATAAAAAGTATTTCACTTTCAAACTCCCACATTTCAAGAACAGAGAAATTCAGTACAAAGGTAATTTGAAGGTATGTATAGATAGAGTTTTTTGAGTCTCCTGTTTGGAATGCCAGACACAAAGATTTCAGTAGAAAGGCATTTTATTTCCTCCCCCCCCTCCCTCCCTCCCTCCTTCCTTCCTCCCTCCCTCCCTCCCTCCCTCCCTCCCTCCCTCCCTTCCTTAATTTGGAACACTTCTGGAACCTTTGTGTCATCCTTGCGCAGGGACCATACTAATCTCTATGTAGTTCCAATTTGAAGCGAGCCCTAGAAAGGCATTTTAAAAGAGCTACCTGGAAACTTTAGAAAGGCAGTAGCTATAGGTTTTTATTACTTATTCAAGTTTGGAGGTGTGTCTATTGCAATGTATAGGTTGTTATGTAGGAGTAGAACTTTTGCCCCAGAGAATTCTTAGCCTGTACCTGAAATGATAAATCCAGAATATTTGTGTTACATTAGTTCATCATTACCATGAAGCCTGCAGTTGCCATTCTGCAGTAGTGAGGAAAATGGCTTTCAGGGGTTCTTAGGTTTTTCTCTAAGGTATTAACTTGTTTAATTGTGCATTTTCCAGATTTGCTACTTTATAAAATTCTTAGGAAGTTTTCTTAAGGCTTTATAAATTCTGTAGCATTTTTCTTAATTATCTGCTAACAATTTATACATTAAACTTTGAAGCTTAAATGTGAGTGAAAACTGTTTTTCAGTACTGTTATATTTTTGGAATTGTCACCCAGTTGTTGCCACAAGAATTTTATTTGGGCCAAAGGTCATATTTTTCCACGTGAACTGATTTTACAGGGTCTGGAGCCTTTTTTTGAACTTTATAATTATGCTTGGTTTTTTCATTGTTACCCTCCTAATCTCTATTCCTGACAAATTTTCTGAAATATTAGGTTTTTCTTTGTCTTCATCAGTAAAACAAGCCCTTTGATGCCCATTTCAAGATCTCCTTCTGCTGCCTGTCTTGTGGTCATTTAACTTCTCATTAAGCCCTCTACTGGAGACTGTGCCAGAAGGGAGAAAAGATGAAAAGCAAATAAATCATTTTCTAATTGTTAGAAGCTCTGGAAAATGATTTAGAAGAGATTGAAGCTATTCTGGTAATTCTTTTGGATTATGTTCTATTTCATTCATCTGCACTGTCTCTGAGATGTTCCTAATAGCTATCAATTCAGAGGCTGATTACCCAGCTATTAGAAGACCAGGAAACTTCCTGCTTTTTTTAGTTTGTTTCTTGCTGTATCTAAGCATCTCCATAGAGGATATTTAATAGAGGAGTAGAGATAAAATTTAAGCTAATCAATATTATTTTTTCCCTTAGAGCTTTTTAGTGAACAATTTGATTTTTGGGTGATAATTTAGTCATTGTTATTGGAAGTGAATAATAGTAACTTCATTTTATTTTGATGTATCTCGTACACAAGTGTAAGGAGGTTTTGGTTGCTTTTTAAGAAACATGGGCCTATATAGATTACCATAATTGCTTTCCTGAATTATTAAGCTTGAGGTTTCATTACATCTTTGTACCGGAACAGAACCTTGGCTTTTCTTGTGGAACGGATTCAGGGACATTGTCTAATTTTCTTTTTATGATTGCTCAAGAAGTTATCTTGTTTTGATTTAGCAGCGAAAAAGGGTGGGAAAAAGGATTAATAGTGGACAGACCTTACATAACAGCTGTAACATTAATGCTATTTGGGGTTTTTTTTTCCTTGTCTTTGGTCCCCCATTTTTCATTTAACCATTTGGATATTCATGTATTGGAATGTTTTACTTATAAATAAGACAGCAGCCTTCAAGCACACTAATGAGTAGGTTCTTGCTATTTTGCCTCTGGAATTTTTACAAACCTATTATGACTGCTCACTTAGCCTGAGTTACTGTTACAGTTGTAAATAAAACCCTAATAGGTGGGTAGGGTTAATAGATGTAAGGAGTCTAGAGTTAATCCTTTCAGTTTCTTGTTCCTTGGATTTCTACCCAAGGAGGGGATTTATGGAAAGATAAACTAGGTGTCAGAAAATCCAAGTTCTTAATCCATTACTTTCCACCTAGGGCAAGTCACTTACCCATTATTTCTCTAAAATGGAGACAGCAATTCATGCTCTGCTTGCTGTATCAGGAATGGGGGTGGGTGCGTGTGTGTGTGTGTGTGTGTGTGTTCACGCACACATGTGAGCAAGAGAGAGAGAGAGAGAGAGAGAGAGGGAGAGGGAGAGAGAGGGACAGAGAAAGGCCCCCTCAGGAATGGGGGCGGGGGCGTGTGTGTGTGTGTGTGTGTGTGTGTGTGTGTGTTTGCGCACACACGTGAGTGAGGGAGAGAGAGGGACAGAGAGAAAGGCCCCCTCCCCTTTTACCTAAAATGTTTCTTCATTCTAGATTCCCTTTCAGGTTGTCTAGATATCCCTGCGGAGGTCTACTGAGTGAGATCTTCCCAGAAGTCCTCTGTTTTTCCATGTGAAACTGTTCTTGCTTTTTCTTCCAGAAGACCTCTGCTAGTCTATCTATATAAAAGTTTTTATATAAATAGCACTTTTGAATTGTGTTCTGTACTTCAGGTGTTGCATGTTGCCTTTCTTCACAGATTGAAAGCTCCATGAGGGCAAAGATTGTACCTTTCCTGTTTCTGTGTATCCACATAGCACATAATATTTATTGACTTACAATAAATGTTGGTTGACTAAATTACTTTTGAGGCTGTCAGGAATGAATACTTTGGACAATAAGAAAATGCCAAAGATGAGCATCCTACCAAAACTTTTGAATGACTGGCCTTTTAAATTGTTGCTTATCTGTCTGTTTTATCAGTTATTGAATAAAAATTGTTAAAGCTGTTTTTGGTTCTCTTTACTTCAGATACTCTTTGTGAGGAATGAAAGTTTGTCACAACAACCCTGAGTTTGACGTTGATTCCGTTTTTCACCCTGTAGCATGTGGAGGCCTATCTATATCTATACCCAACTGCTGAGTGTGGAGAATAAAAACTGACTGCGTGTTGTCAGGGTCCACATTCTAGCTTGTTTGCTTTGAAGAATTTTCGAGGTGGAGAAGTAAGATGCTTCAGGGTTTGATTTCAGCCCATGCTGTGCTATGCAAATGTTCTCTACATGCCTGAGTGACCTTTTGAGAAAGAGCCTTTGTGATCTTCTGTAGCCAGGGCCTGTTCTGGGAACAGTGTGCCAGATTCCTCTAAAAGTGGGAAAAGTGGATCTGTTTAAAGACCACATAAAAAAGCCAATGCTTTTCCTGGGTAAATATCGGTAAGTCCATGTTTCTTACTGTCTGTTGTCAGAGCTTTTGAAATTTGCTTTCCTTGTTAATTTAGGGAATGATGTGTGTAAGAGGGTACTGACTAAAGCTATTCAGAAGCTGGGAATCTGTTTAGGTGATTTGGAATTGTAGGTAAATTCAGACTGGTATCATTAGTATCCGGGTGTTTATCAGTGTCTTCAGCCTGGCTCTCTCTAAGTGCTGGCCGAGTGACTTTCAAACAGATTGTAAGGTTCATTTTTGCTCAAATTGTGCTCTAATAGTTTGACATTTAAATTATTTTCTATTTGTTTTGATTATTGTATAAAATGAAAAGTATAGTTTTTTAATATATGAAAGGAATAGCATTCTGATGTATTTCTCTTGCAAAGCAATACTGGAGTCTTGGAGGGTTATAGTTTTTAATGCTTTTACTGAGATGATTAGTTTGTATAGCTGAAATGCTGATGAAGAAGAATGCTTTTTCTCCCTTTCTCATAAACAACCTTTTTGATGAGGATCATGATAGGTACAAGGATAAGGTTGTAGAGTTAATCATAATGTTCTACTATAGAAATTCTAAAAATTGAATTTTCAGAGAAGATAGGTAGAATTTGAATGACTAGTTTACTATTGGGCTCTTCCTCTAAGTATAGGATAATTCTTTCTCTGTAGAGATTAGTATGTACTTAATGTGCAACAGATAGAGCACCCACAGAAGTCCTTAGAGCAATGATTTTTAAGCTTTTTAACCCCATGACACAATAAACTAATAACTGAAATTTTGTGGAAACCCCAAAAATATATTCTATTTTTTGCTGATCTGCAAAAAAAAAAAGTGTAATTTTGATTCATTGATTCATTCATATTGGACGGCTATTGTATTGGCTATTGTCATTTTTTTTTTGACAGTCTAAGGGAAAAGAGGTCAGCGCTCCTGACTAAATAATCAGGTATTGCATGTTTTAAAAATTCTTGTTGCACGTCAGTTGAAAATTACTGCCCTAGAAGAATCTTTTCTTCCTCAGATCTTTGCCATGTAGCAGGTTTCTTTTAAAAAAGATTTTATTTTTTTATTTTTAGAGAGAGGGGAAGGGAGGGAGATAAAGAGGTAGGGAAACACCTGTGTGAGAGATGTCAGTTGGTTGCTCCTTGCATACCCCCAACTGGGGACCTGGCCTGCAACCCAGCCATGTGCCCTGACTGGGAATCAAACCGGTGACCTTTTGGTTTGCAGGCTGACATTTAATCTACTGAGCCACAGCAACCAGGGCTGCCCTGTAGCAGTTTTTAATTGAGCAAAAATGAATAGTTTTTTGGTATGTCGCCTGCTCTGCGGGGTGGACAAACCTTCTCTGTTTTCATAGTTACATGTGCTGTCATGTCTTTTTCTCCCCAAGTTTCCCTGGAACCTGGGCTCCCCAGACGCCGCGCTGGAGCAGATGGATAATGGAGACTGGGGCTATATGGTGAGAGGCTTTTTGCAGATGCATTCTGAAGGCTGTCAAATTGTTTTTGTATGTCTTTACCCCTTATGTATTCTTAGGTATAATATTGTAGATCTTGTAAGGATGAAAATTATTGGTGTAACCCCCCCTTAATTAGTTTAGAATGTATTTGGGGGGTGTTTTTGTTTTGTTTGGTGTTTTTATGTAAGCAAACTCAGTGTGGGCTCTCAAAGTAACTTTATAATCACTTATTTGAGAGAGATCATGATTTTTGGTCTTTAAAATTGCTCTTCACACTCTTCCTTCATAGAACAGTCTATGAAAAGGGTCTAGTAGGAAATGATACAGAGGATATTTCCTTGTGGTTAGGGAGGTTAACCATTGAGAAGGTGCCACTTTTCCCACTTTGAATTTCTTTGCATGTGTATGTGTCTTCCTATTACTTTTTGCCCTTGGTAAAAAATATTTTACTTGCCTAGTACTTCCACTTGTCTGTATTTATTTTTTTTTCTTAAATATGATTTTTAAAACTGAAGGTATATATTATTTGGAGAAGCTTGCTTTTCAAAACTAAAGACCAGATTGCAACATTAATGTTAACAGTGAATACACTGTTAGATTTTGAAATTGAAAGTTACTGGTATATGAGATTGTGTTGATCAAACTGTATTTTTACTTAGTATTTGCCACTGTTATTGCCATGAAAAAGTTATGAAAATTAGGTCTGCACAAATTTTTATCTTTAAAATAAATTTTGTGATTTCCTTCCCTTTCTGATGAGGGAGAAACAAAAGAAATAGCAAAAGTAGATTCTTTTAATTATCAAATCAATTTTCTGCCTATTTTATGTTAAATTGAGTTAAAGATGAAAGTCTCTTTTAAATTAGAAAGAAACTTAAATTAGTTTTAGTTTGGCTTTTGTCTTTCCTTAATATACTGTATTTTGCCGTGTATAATGTGCACTTTTTTGCCCAAATTTTTGAAGGGAAAATAGGGATGCACATTATACATGCATAGTACCTGAAGTATCCTGTATCTGCAGTTGTGTTTTGTAATTATTTGTTACATAAAATTTCTTGTAGCATATGTTAAAAAAATGCTAAAATTCCTTTATAATACAAAAAACAAGTATCTAAATATAAATAAATAGGTAGTTTAATTACAAAATTAAAAGGAAAGTTTTTTATCCCCCTGAAAGTTTGAGCCAAAACCATGGGTGTGCATTATACATGGCAAAATACGGTATCTACTTCTCGTTAGATACTGGGCTTGAAATTAAATGGCTTTGGAACTCATGCTCTTGTTTCTTAGTATGTCTTTAAAGAATTAGGTTTATCCTTTTTACCCTATTGAAAGCATATGTTGGATCCCTACATCTAGGTGGATTAATCACCGAAAGAAAGGCTATTTTGCGTAATAGGATTGCTAAATACCTTGTAATCTGAAGGACTGTTTTGGTTTGCTTGTTACCATTTTTCTTAATTTGTCAAAGTTAGTATTTTAAAACTTTCAGGTGGCTAATCATTTTTTAAAACATTTCAGATGACTGACCCAGTCACGTTAAATGTAGGTGGACACTTGTACACAACATCTCTCACCACATTGACGCGATACCCGGATTCCATGCTTGGAGCTATGTTTGGCGGGGACTTCCCCACAGCTCGAGACCCTCAAGGCAATTACTTCATTGATCGAGATGGACCTCTTTTCAGATATGTCCTCAACTTCTTAAGAACTTCAGAGTTGACCTTACCTTTGGATTTTAAGGAATTTGATCTGCTTAGGAAAGAAGCAGATTTTTATCAAATCGAGCCCTTGATTCAGTGTCTCAATGACCCTAAGCCTTTGTATCCTATGGATACTTTTGAAGAAGTTGTGGAGTTATCTAGTACTCGGAAGCTTTCTAAGTACTCCAATCCAGTAGCTGTCATCATAACCCAATTAACCATCACCACCAAGGTCCATTCCTTACTAGAAGGTATCTCAAACTATTTTACAAAGTGGAATAAGCACATGATGGACACCAGAGACTGCCAGGTTTCCTTCACTTTTGGACCCTGTGATTATCACCAGGAAGTTTCTCTGCGGGTCCACCTGATGGAATATATCACAAAACAAGGCTTCACGATCCGCAACACCCGAGTGCATCATATGAGTGAGCGGGCCAATGAGAACACAGTGGAACACAACTGGACTTTCTGTAGGTTGGCCCGGAAGACAGATGATTGATCTTTAACCCTGGGAAAAGTTCCTGGAAACCAACTCTCCAGTAGATGGAAGAGACTGATTTTTTTTTTTTTTTAATCACAGTGTGAGATTTTTTAAAAAATTTTTTGTATTTATTTGCAGGCATTGAGGACCAGAAGGAAGTTTTATGCTTTAGCAGGATCTTCTATGTTTTGTTCCCTTTGCCCTGAGTATGCATGTGCCTGTTCAGAGCCTCCAGATACCTTTTTTATAAAAAGAAGTCTAAAAATTATTATGGTCTATAATCTACCCTTAACAGAGCTTTTTTGTATTACAGTGCTAAAATGATTTCTGAGTAAATGGTCCCTAACTCAACTAGAAGGCTAAAAAAATGCAGGAATGAAAGAATAAACAGAGTACTCAAGATGCTTTTGACAAAAATCAAAACATCATGTAGGGTGACCTAGTTTCCAATAATCCGTATTGTAATATTAAAGGAAAACTGTTCCAGTCGTTTAAAAGTACTTGTTAAGTACTGCTTTTTACAGTTACGACAACTGTTTCTTTCTATGCATATAAATCAAGCAACCAAATATCTGTAGCCATGGAAATGTCTGACTAGAAATATTTATATTGGATTCTGAATACAAAATGTCCCTGTGGTAGAAATCTTACTTCTTATGCCTGGTACAGTATTAATTCCCAAGTGTACTGTCTACCAGGAAAAAAAAAAAACTAATAAAAAAATGAAATAGAAAAATTAGGTTTGTATTTGTTGACTATTGTTATTTAAGGGGAAAAATCATATTCTTTGTCTAAAGTATGCATTGTTTGTTTTATGTACCAATGTACACTACCAAGGCACACTGGTATTTGATTCAAGAGGTCTTGGTGGAACCTTAGGATGAATTTATAGAACTCTGTTGTGTTATTAAAACAGGAATAGATGAGATTACTAATTTTGTCCAAAAGAATATAATTTGAGCAGTGAACATAGTTTGACAAATTTTTTCAAATAGTACTTATGTTGAGGATTAAAGGTTTTTCTTCAATAAGCCACCATTTGTCAAAGTTCTGAATATGACCCTTATCCTAGCTTTGTGTTGAGTATGGGGACAAAATGACATTCTGGCTACCTTATTCTCTTATATTATGTCAACCCACAAGTGTATTTTATTGTGAAAGTAAGTTTATTTCTGAGGAGAAGAAATAAACTGCAGTGAATGAAGGATCTGGAACAGCTGGAGATAGGTGTTCGTTTGTTTGTTTCACTGTCGTCTTATTTTGCATAGTTCATTTGATTCTATTTCATGGCAGTTACTCACAGGCACAGTTATGTTAAGTGAGACTTCCTAGTTTTGCTAGAACACCTTCTAAAAGGAAGTCTTCTTTGCTCTATGGGAGGAAAGTGTGTGCTCTAGGGCAGGCCAGCCCTTTTTTCCTCTGAGATTCTGCCTCTGGAAGGAGGATGAAAACACCTTCATCCATTTCTGCCTGTGTCTAGAAAATTTATTTTAAGATTTGACAAATGACTACCATTCAGAAACCTGTAATTACCCCATTTTTGCAATCTTCAAACTAAAATTCCTTAATAAAGTTATTGGCAGGTTGCTGTAGTTTCAGTAAATATACTAGTATGAGGTTATATTTTTAGAAAATTGCCTCCTACTTCAAATTGATTAGTGGTTACCTAAGAAAAAAACCAACTAGCCACTTACATGTTGTTAAATTAGCTGAAGCGAACATGAGATAAAATTATTTGGTTTGAGAACTGGTATGGAAATGGGAATAATATTTGCCCTTCCAAGGTTTTAAAAGTTAAAAACTTATGGGGTCTCTTCCTTGTCCAGTTTACTGGAGATAAGTTTGCTTTTGGTAAATTTTCCCAGATTTATTAATTATTAACAACTAAATGATTATTTATAAGAGTAAATTAGGAAAAGTAGCCAGCTAAGATATTTTGTAATTTAATTTGTCTGGTGGCATTTACTTTTGAGTGTTTTGTACGCTGAGTCAACTGAAAATGACATGAAAATTGTAGCTTGAGTATATTTGGGTAATTTGAGACAATTATTTCTTTTATGAATTTTAATTTTCTGTGAAAGAGTTGATTTTTAAAAAAGTGATACTTAGTTGCAGTCTTAGGGCTGTACCTTTTATTTAGGTTACACAAAGTATAGGCACTTTTGGAGAAGGATTGTATGTGCATGTGTGTGTCCTTTTAAACCCTTGGATAAATGTGCTATAGACACAAATAACAACTAATGAGTTTATTGGCTTTTGCAAGATCTAAAACAAAACCCTGACATTTAACAAACTATATGCTACAATTGGGTAGAGCTACTGTGTTTTATTGTGGGGAATTTCAAATGTAATTAGAAGAGAGGATAGTTTAAACACCCATGTACCCATTGACTAACATTAACAACTATTCACTCACCCTTTTTCCTCCCATGGATTATTTTGAGGTAAATCACAGATATTTCATTCACTTCAGACCCTCTCTAGACGATAATGACTCCTTAAAAAATATGTATATGTGTACTTTAAAATTTTAATGATATATGTGCCATGCTACCATTATCACATAGTGGTACTTCTTGAATGCTGTTGATTATTTCATAGCTTGGATCTCCAACTTTGTAGCAGTGGTCGCAGATATTTCTCATAGGCAGGGTTCCCCTGTTTGTAGAAAGAAGTGCATTATTAAGACAATATTTCTGCCAGAATTAATAACTTTTAATTTCAAATTAAGTTTTGAATTTCAAAATTAACATTACATAAGATTCTTAATTTTAAAAATTATTTTAAAAATTCATTTTATGTGAACATATGGAGAAACATTTTTTCCAAAGGGCATCTTTCGTTTTCTTAAGCAGATTTTAAATTGTGGATGCAGGTGGCCAATTAAAAAATACAGTTATCATTTGCTTTTGGAATGTAATACATAAAGAACTCAACTCTTTGAGGTTCTTTGAAATTGAACATTAACCATAAACCAAGGAATGAGTAGGTGGAATCAGGTAAGTAATATTCTGTGTCAGAATAGGTTCTCCCTATATTATTTACTTTTTAAAAAAAAAATTAATTTATTTTTTAGAGAGATTGGTGAGCGAGGAGAAAGAGAGGGAAAGGAACCTCTATGTGAGAAACATCGATTGGTTGTCTCTTGCATGTATCCCAACTGGGGACCGAACCTACATCCAGGGCTTGTGCCCTGAACAGAAATTGAACCGGCGAGCTTTTGGCTTGTAGGACAACACCCAACCCACTGAGCCACACTACTCAGGGCTCCCCATTACTTTCTAATATGATGTCTTGATTCATTCCTTCACAGCCCTGTTCTCATCTTTTGTAATATTTGCTTGTTTATTTTTTGCCTATGTAGGCTAAAACTCCTTGAAGACAGTGTCTATTACTCATTCTCCACTATATCCTTAGTACCTAGAATAGTTTCTGGCACATAGTATTTGCTCAGTAAATATGCTGAATGAGTGAATGAATCAGTAGATGTGTTTAGTGGATCTAGCAACTACTTGGACAAACTTTTACAATAGAATAATCGGCGGGGGGGGGAGGATATGATCCTTGTTTTGAAATAATACCCTGTGTTTCCTCCACTGCTTGCATCTGTAGGAAATCACTTAAATATGTGTTCTTGTGGGGAGGGGTAACAGCCTTTTGCTGTTCCCTTTGGAAAAACTGGCTTGAAATAGCGTTCAGACAGGAAAAAAGCCAAAAAAATTACCAGAAAACCAGACACCATGGCTCGACTAAACCATGGGAGAGTGCATCATCCAGTCTCAGGATAAAGCTCATCACTTAACCTTCCCAAACAGAAGAGAGACTGGCTTAGGATTCTGAGACATTTAACTTAGCATAACACCTTTCTTTTGGTGGAACATGTTAGTGAAATATATTCCCATTTGTACTTTTGTGTCACCAAGGCATGTTTTAACATAGCTGTTGTTTTAATTTATTTGAAACCTGTAGTGTACCTTTTTCAACTAGTGCAAATATGTCTTTTACTGCAGTTTCAAAATTATCTACAGCGCGTTAAAAAAATACACTTTAGAAGTGCCATTTTGCTGGTCTCTAGAGGAGCCAGAAATGTAAGATCATGTGGTTATATATTAGCAGTTAACTGAGTATCATTTTAACTAATTGGTAACAGTTCTCCAAGGTCATTTATAATCTCAGTTCCTAAACTGCTTTCATGAAAGAGCCACATTGCTGTACCTGTAACCTTTTTAGCAAAGTAATGGAAGATAGGATGGCAAAGTCTGCAGCACTGTGTATGTACCAGGTTCCTTCGTCTCACTGTGTAGGTCATAAAACCATGTTTATTTATTCCATAAATGTAAAGTGTCTATTCTGATAGATCCTGGAGTTAGGAAGATGGAAGACTCCATCCTTGGTCACAGTGAAGTGGCAGGCAACAAAGAAAAGGGAAAAGTGAAAGGGATGATGTGCATCAGTGTTTTACCAAATCTGCTGATGCTGTGGATAAGTCATGTCCCTCATTTAGATAAGCCTGCCCTCATATAGTGTCCATTCCTTTAAAATAAATATTGTCCATTCCTTTAAAATAAATATTAGAAACAGTGAAAGATTGAGAAAGTCCCCTGTGTGCTTTAGTGAAGATGAGGAGTCAGGAGAACTGGCATGTTTCCTTGTGTCGCTAGTAAAACAGGTTTGAGCTGGGTTATGTCTGCATTTCCTGAGGGTGTCACAGCAAGGTAGGTTTTTCTCTGGGGCACCAAAAGGTATACATTTATCTTCAGACCATAGGAGTTAATCTGGAGTTGGGGGACTGCTATAGTTTTATGCCAGGATTTAGCTTATGCCAGGATTTAAATATTAGAAAGTAAAGAGATCTAAGCATTAGAAAAAGTAAAATAACTAGTGTTAGCTTAACTGTACTAAGCAGTAAATGTATCATGCCTTCTTTAGTAGGTTGTTTCTCTTTCCTTGTAGTTAAAAGGATGCCTTCCTGGAGTCAGACAATGACCAAAATGGATTGGCCTTCTATCTGACAACCATCTTGGGCATAACTGGTTTTGTTATGACTTTAGATGATCCTGTTAAATTAAGCTCTGAAGGGTGACAGAATGCAAAATGTTAAGAGCAAGTCTAACACTATGGTAAGTGTGAATGAAAGCCTGAGAGTTGCCAATTTGATGAGGTGTTAAGGCACCTTTTCTGAAATTTGACCTAAGAGGTAAAAGAGTAAACTTCACCATCTGAAAAACATTTGCATGGTAGAACTTAAAGTAATCTGTTATGTAGCTATAGACTATCTTTGTTTTTATCAAGCTTGTATCAAATCTGCTATTAAACATTAGTCCCTCAAATTCTAAATACAGGGTTTATTTCTTAACTCCAGTTAATGTACTCATTGACTTTCATAACTTTCATAATTCCCAGTGAGGCTCAGAGCAGAAGCTGGGACCCTGACCCTGGACTGTCAGGATTTTATGATTCCTCCCCTTCTGTTATTGCCTTTGAGTTCTCGCATTCTCTTCTGGAACTAATGGGGATCTTTGCTCCATAATCCTGGTAGTTGTCATTCATATGGCATTTCTGGGCTACTGATGACAGTGCAGCAGGTTTCTGTGTTCTAGGATTGTGTTCCTTACAGTGAAGAGGAAGGAGGCATCTCCAGCAGGCAGTCAGGTCTGGGAGGGACCCCCCTACCCCAGTCCACCCAAGCTTTCTATCACCTCTG